TGTCCTTGAGTGAGCCAAATTCCACAAAGCCAAGGCCTTTCATGAGCTCAGTATGGGTCTCCAGCAGAGCTTTTTAACCAAAGGAGCCCTCTGTGCACTCAGGGGGCTTTCATGCTGTGACAGCTCTGTGCTGGCCAGCCTTCCTATGCGAAATAGCAACTCTATTGATGTGAATGGAGCATTAAATATGGAGTGTAGGGATCTGTGAGATCAGGAATCAACCCACTTTTTTGTTGTTGTTGTTGGTTGTGGGACTTAAACTCTGGGCCTGGGTGCTATCCCTGAGCTCTTCAGCTCAAGGGATGCTCTGCCACTTGAGCCACAGCACCACTTCTGGTTTTCTATGGTTTAGTGGAGATAAGAGTTTCACAAACTGCCAGGTGCCGGTGACTCACACCTGTAATCCTCGCTACTCAGGAGGCTGAGATCTGAGGATCGAGGTTCAAACCAGCCCAGGCAGGAAAGTTCGTGAAACTCTTATCTCCAATAAAAATCACCAGAAAACCAGAAGTTCAAGTGGTAGAGTGCTAGCCTTGAGCTGAAGAGCTGAGGGACAGAGCTCAGGCCCAGAGTTCAAGCCCCACAACCGACAAAAAAACAAAAACAAAAAACAAGAGTTTCACAAACTTTCCTGCCTAGTCTGGCTTTGAACCGTGATCCTAAGATCTCAGCCTCCTGAGTAGCTAGGATTACAGGCGTGAGCCACCAGCACCAAGAAATCAACCCACTTTTGACCAATAAAACTAAGGCTGGAGTTGTATTGACCAATGTTAACAAATTTCAAATAATACAATTCTAGAGAATACTTCATGTTTAGTTTAATTGCTATTTTGAAATGCAATTCACTTTGTCCATCATCATCATCATCATCATAATCATCATCATCATCATCGTGGTGAGGGTGGTCCTTGTGCATTCCAACCAAACACCACTGTACCAATGAGCTCTATCTCCAGCTCTGAGCTATATCTCCAGCTCAGTGGAGGGGGGGGATGCACACGCATGCACTGGTCCTGGATCCAGTCTCTCTGAGCTTTTTTTTCAAGGATAACACTCTATTGCTCCAGCCACAGCTCCGCTTCTAGATCTTTTGGTGTCGTTTATTGGAGACAAAGAGTCTCCATGGACTTTGCTGCTGAGGCTGCCTCAAACCAAAAGTCTCAGATCTCAACCTCTTGAGTAGTTAGGATTACAGGAGTAAGCCACCAGCAACCAACTGAGATGTTATTTTGTTTTAACTTCCCAACTAACCTTATAGATACATTCTTAGTAACTTTTTTACATGTTTAACCATCTGTCATCTTAAGTCATTTGAAAGATACTACCTTCTCAATTGAGTGGGCACTTGATTAGTCCCTTCATTTTAAAACTTTTCTCAGCCTTTTCTCAATGTGTTTATCCTTGGAAAAATCTGATTCTGTTTATTTGGCTGAGTCTTTGTGTTTTGTTTTTAAGCTTTGCTCTGTCATTCCTGGAAATTTCTAGTGTATTTACATGATGGTAGTTCTGTGCCTTTCCTTCCTAAAGTCTCACCTTAGAAAATAACAGGAAAAACAATGGTGTTGTTAGTATTATCAATGCTAGACAAAGCTTATTCCACAGTATACAGCTCCTAAAAGTCATAGTGTGGTACATCTTCATAGAATTTATCAAAGACTGGGACCAAACCAGGCGCCAGTAGCTCACACCTGTAATCCTAGCTACTCAGGAGGCTGAAATCTGAGAATCACAATTCAAAGCCAGCCCAGGCAGGAAAGTCCATGGAGACTCTTGTCTCCAATTAAATACCAAAAACACTGGAAGTGGAGCTGTGGCTCAAGTGTCAAAGTGCTAGCCTTGAGCAAAACAGCTCAGCGATAGTGCGTAGACCCTGGGTTCAGCACTAGGACCAGCACAAGAAAAAAAAGATTGAGACCAAATAAAAACTACACATTTAAAAGTATTAAGTATTTTTATTGTTTTGATGGCTGATAGAAAGAATATGGTTAAATGCTTTATCTACAGTTTCTCTCTGCAATGTTTCATGCTTTAGGGTTTCCTCAACCCTATATGTATTTACTAATAGCACCCCACCCTTAGCCAGAAATTTTTTTCTCTTATTTCATCCTTCAGCTAAGAGAAATACAATTAACTGTAACTAGAAATTTATAAATGCCCTTTTCCTCAGTAGAAAGAATAAGAAAGCTAGTTGGAGACATGTGTGTTATGTATATATGGGGGGGGGTGGTAAATGTGTGTCCACGCATGCATGTGCCAGTCCTGGGGCTTGAATTCAGGGCCTGAGCACTCTCCCTGAGCTTTTTGTGCTCAAGGTGAGTGCTCTACCACTTGAGCCACGGCTCCAATTCCAGCTTTTGGGGAATAGTTTATCAGAGATGAGTCTCAAGGGCTTTCCTGGCTAGGCTGGCTTTGAACCTGGATTCTCAGATCTTATCCCCCTGAATAAGCTAGAATTACAGGAGTGAGCCACTAGCACCTAGGTGGGACTTTTTTTTTTTTTTTGAACTTCCTAATGACCTTATAGATATAGTCTTAGCTGAACTTCCTTACCATTTTGCATACTTAGCCAGAAATGCTGTCATACTATGTCACTCAGAAGATGTTTCCTTCTTTATATGAAGTGAATGGGCTTTCATGCTATTTAGATGCTTTGGGGTTTTATCCTTTCATTCAGCCATGTAACATGCAAAGCATGGAGCGGAGCATTCATAGAGCTTGAAAGCACATAGACCCAGCGTGGCCGCAAGAACTTCATTGTACAGTCGACCCTCATTAGCCTCAGGGAACTGGATCCAGGACTCCTGCCAATACTAAAATCCATGATGCTAATGTCCTTTGTATAAAATGGTATAGTACTAATATATCTTCTCTCCACATCCTTCCATAGACTTTAAATCACTTCTGGATTTCTTTTCTTTCTTTCTTCCTTTCTTTCTTTTTTTTTTTTTTGTCAGTCATAGAGCTTGAACTCTGGGTCTGGGCACTGTCCCTGAGCTCTTCAGCTCAAGGCTAGCACTTTTACCACTTGAGCCACAGTGCCACTTTCAGTTTTCTGGTGGTTAATTGGAGATAAGAGTCTCATGGACTGTCCTGCCCAGGCTGGGTTTGAACTGTGATCTTCAGATCTCAGCCTCCTGTGTAGCTAGGATTATAGGCACTTCTGGATTTCTTATAACAGCTGATACAGTATAAATGCTGGGTAAATAGTTGTGGTGTTTTTACTCTGTTGTTTAAAGAGCACTGTTGTTTGTGGAATAGTGGCAAGAAATAAATACATATTCAACACAGAAGTACTTTTGAAGTTGGCTGTTTCTGTACATGTGGAACTTGTAGAAAAAACTGAATACATCATACTTATTTGTTTATGGAATGAATATTTGTATGTAAATTTGTATGTAAAAAGTATAAGAAAGTGCTTTGGAAGTTCAGATGAGAAAAATGACACTTTCAGCATGACAATCAGGGAAGAACAATCCTTCAAGACTTCAGGCGATGAATAGGCAAAAACGTTTGAACCCACATTTGCAGGAGCAGAGATAAAAAGGCAGAGATAAAGAGGTTTGGCTGGGGCTTATTCACTGAGGCACACAAAGTCCCGTCAGAAAGTTAGCCCTGCTAACTTTCCAGAAGCAGTGGAGAGTCTGTAGATGATTTTGGTATATTAAAACTTTTGTCTCACCAGATGCCTATGGCTCACTGTAATTCTAGCTACTTAGGAGATGAGATCTGAAGATCGAGGTTTAAAGCCAGTCCAAAGCCACTCCAAAAAACAACAGCAAGTGGAGATGTGGTTCAAGTGGTAGAGTACCCAAGCCCTGAGTTCAAAACGACAATACGGGCACAACACACACACACACACACACACACACACACACACACACACACACACACACACACACACACACACACACACACACACACACACACACACACACACACACACACACACACACACACACACACACACACACACACACACACACACACACACACACACACACACACACCCCTAGGGTCTAAGGGTCTAAGGAGGGTTAGCCTGGCATGATCTATGAAATAGAAGAAAAGCTAGCAATAAGGGGAATGGTTAAAAGACAGAAGTACATGTACTCATGTCACTTCTGTAATTGCAAAGACTGAAACTGGAAAACAGAAGAATTGGGATGGATGCTAAATTCCAAGGGTGGCAATACTTCTCATAGGAGGAAAGGGGAAACTTTAAAGAGCTTGAAGTGTCAGAAAGTTAATGGAATTGTGTCATTGTCAGAAAACACTGGTTACTTTCCTCCTGCACTGACATTCTTAAAATACTGACAAGGTACTATTTAAAACACAATTACTACGCCCAGCATTGGTTGCTTATGCCTGTAATTCTAGCTATGCATGAGGCAAAGATCTAAGTATCACAGTTTAAAGCCAACCAGGTCAGGAAAGTCCCTGAGATTCTTGACTCCAGTTAAAAACAAAAATCAGAAGTAAAGCTGTGCCTCAAGTGATAGACCACCAGCTTTGAGCAAAAAAGCTAAGGGGCAGCACATACACTCATACACAAAGCACATACACTCATACACAAAAACAATTGCTAGTGCTCTTGTAATGTTTGATATTTGAAATACTGTGTCTTAAGAGCTCAAAACATAGAGCAAAAGAATAGAGGTGCTTGCGCTCAGCATACATTGTCCCAAGTATGTCTTTGTAGGTAGCTTTCCCTCTTCTCTATGATCCTCTCACCATGGTCAGCTTTTTTTGTTGTTGTTTTGGTTTTTTGTTGTTTTTTTTTTGTCGGTCATGGGGCTTGAACTCTGGGCCTGGGTACTGTCCCTTAGCTCTTCAGTTCAAGGCGAGCGCTCTACCAGTTGAGCCACAGCATCATTTCCAGTTTTCTACTGGTTTATTGGAGATGAGTCTCACAGACTTTTCTTCCCAGGCTGTCTTTGAACTGTGATCCTCAGATCTCAGTCTCCTGAGTATCTAGAATTTCAAGCATGAGCCACCAGCACTCGGTTAATTTAACATTTTTAACATAAGAAAGTAAAGGAATGGGTCTAAGCAACTATTCAGGCTACCCAGGCACAAAGCTATGAGATAAGAAAAGTATAAGCCATCCGTGTTGTGACTGTAGTAGTTAACATGATAAGCAATCAATATAATATTACTCGGCATAAAGCAAACCATAAAAATCACCATGATGAAAACAACCGCCTTGGAATACCTCAGCCATCTTTGATCGTGTATGTTAAGTCTGCGGATAATGTTTGTGTAGCAGTATGTAACAACCATGAATGGAATTAAGAATCCAAAGACAGCTAAGGAGATGAAGTAGCACAACTGGAAGAGGGAGGAAGACTCGCATAGGCTGTATCCATCATGGCAGGTGGTGATGTCCAGCTGCAGAAGGTAATATTCCTGTTTCAGGATGCAAAATGGCAGCATGTATAAGAAAACCATCACCCACACCACGCCACATGTTAGCCAAGTGTATTTGCGCTTGGGCAGCCTCCGGTATGTGAAAGGATGAACAATGGCCAGGTAGCGGCTGATGCTCATGCAGGTAAGGAGCAGAATGGAGCAGTACAGGTTTCCATAGAAGAGCACAGTGGTAGCCCGGCACAAGACCTCTCCAAATATCCAGTTATTTCCGTTGAGGTGATAAGTGATCTTAAATGGCAGTGTGACACAGAAGAGAATATCTGCAATGGCCAGGTTGGTATGGAAGATGGTCAGACAGATGGGTTTGTTTCTGAAAAGGAGTTTCCACAGGGTCATACTGTTGGCTGGAATACCAACCACAAATACCAGGATGTAGATAGCAGGTATCAGCTTGGTCCTTAAGGAACTTTTCAGGTACCCCACGGTGACATTATTCATATGAAGATGTGAAACATTTCCTTCAGGGCACCTCACATTTATAGTGGCTCCTGTCCAGCCTTTTATGGCAGAAAGTGAGAAGTCTTCAGAAGCATTTGGGGGGGTTCCATACAAGGTCCTAACAGTTAAGTTTGGTTTTCCTGACTTGTCTGCAATGTTTCCCATGCCTGTAAGTGAAAGGAAATTACAGCACTTTTTTATTTTGCCAAGCCTTATTTTATAGTTTGGGTAAAAACTAAGTGAAGTGTTTTACTTTGGGCAGTACTGGGATTTAAACTCAGGTGCGTGCTCACTGTTATTAGTTAAGTCCTCTGTGAGTTGAGCCATAACCTTAGCTTTAAATGCTTTATGTTCCATAATTTATGTAATTGTAAGATTTAGAACCATTTTATTTTAAAAGATCATTATATATTTTATTATATCACATATTTATTTTCATTATTACACCTATATATATATATATATATATATACACACATATACACATACCTGATATTGCCTATAATCAAGCAATCCATAGGCATGTTTGTAGTGTGTGCCATAAACCTCAGCACATACACACAACTCCTTGTGTGAAAGGAGTTAATAGTACTAGTGGAAGCAAAATTAGCTCAAAACATTATAGGCAAATGTTATATTGACTATAAGCTACATAGTCATTTGGATTCGAGAAACATGTCAAGAAAATGATGAACAAGGCTTATAAAGAGATGGAGTCTAATAGATGAATTAGATTTTGCTGGTGATGAATGGGCATGGGGTCTGGGAATACCCAATAACTATTAGGAAATGTTCATTTTGTACGTATATGTAGTTGACACTTTATTGCAATAAAAGTTAAAAAATGTAGAATTTTAAATAAGTTTCATCACTTTTTGGGAAACCTTTGACTATTGTAGAAGACACACAAAAATTTATTGTAATATACTAATAAAATACATCTAAAAGACGAATTTTGAAAAAATAAATTATACTCAAATTCTTGAAGGGCCCTGAAACTATCCTAAGAAATCACAGCCTATTCATGAGGTTGCATACACAGCTCTGATGGTAGTACTGACCAATGTGGTAAAAAGAATAAAGCCACAAAGATTCCACATGCTGGTTCTGGGAACCTGTGAATGTGTGACCTCCTATGGCGAAAGGGAATTTTACATATAGGAGTAGTTAGAGTATCCTGGACTGACCAAGTGGGTCAAATATAATCCTAAGAGTCCTTGTAGGAGGGAGGCAAGAGGGTGAAAATCAGACAGATTTGGAGAGGCCGAGCGGCTGGCTTTGAAGATAGAAGGAGGGGCAATGGACCAAGAAATGCAGGCAGTTTTTAAGAGTCTGAAAAAGGCAAAAAGTCAGATTCTTGTCCAAATCCTCTTGAATGAATACAGCCCTGCCAACACCTTTATTTTAATACTTCTGACCTCCAGAAATACCAGATAATAAATCTGTGCTTTTTTAAACACTCAATTATGAACATTTGTTACAGTGTCAGTAGGATACTAATAATATACCAATGACTAACTTGTGTTCAAGATTACTTCAGTGGTAAAGTACAGCGAACAGAGTGTTAAAACTTAGGGAGAGGGGCTGGGAAGGTAGCTCAGTGGTAGAGCGCTTGCCTTGCATGCCTGAGGCCCTGGGTTTGATTCCTCAACACCACATAAGCAAAATGAAAAAAGCTGGAAGTGGCGCTGTGGCTCAAGTGGTAGAGTGCTAGCCTTGAGCTGAAGAGCTGAGGGACAGCGCCCAGGCCCAGAGTTCACGACCGGATCCCCCCCCCAAAAAAAAAAAACTTAAGGAGAAAGGAGTCTGATTTGGATGCTGTTGTAATTATTCATACTCTAAGGATACTCTAAGTTACTGAACTAGGCAAAGGTTAGGAAATGGTGAAGGTGAGTCTAGGAAGACAAGCAGGGTACAAAGGGACTTATAGGTACATTCACGTGTGTGTGTGTGTGTGTGTGTGTGTGTGTGTGTGTGTGTGTGTGTGTGTGTGTGTATGTATCCTGAATGCTTATGAGCTTGTGCCAGTATTGGGGCTTGAACTCAAGGCCTTACACTGCCCCTTAGCTTTTAAACACCAGGCTGGCACTCTATCACTTGAGCCATACCTCCACTTCCAGCTTTAGGTGGTTAATTAGAATTAAGGGTGTCATGGATTTTCCTGCCTTTGCTGGCTTCAAAGCTTAATCCTCAGATCTCAGCCACCTGCATAGCTAAGATTACTGGCATGAGCCACTGGTGCCTGGCATAAGATTCTTTCAATCTCTTGAAAAAGTCCTGTCTTTCCAAAGTTAAAGGAAATTCCTACAAATGCAAACACTTCTCACAAAGAATATTGCTTTCTGACTTAACTGTATATTTAAAATCTTGATTCTAGCACCAAAATTTAGATATTAATAGAGGACAGTACATCTTTAACAAGATAAAGTGAACAAAGTAGATGTGCATCTCCAGGATTCTGGCCTGTAACCAAGAACACACTCTGCCCTTAGAGAATATTAAGAGAATATTAAGAGAATTAGGTTCAGTTGACTCTTACAACATAATCATTGTATCCCAAAAGAAAAGAACTTACCACTTTGACAAATAGTAGACAGCAGGAACAGTAGTCTAGAAGCTGCCACAATGAGGGCTTTCATTTTGATGTCCTGAAACGTACTTCTCCAAGGTATAAAGTCACAGGACACAGTTTCCCCTCAGCTTCATGTGGTAGCAGCAAGTAGAGACTTGTCTTGGCTGAAATAGGTTCTCTTTGGTTGAAGCAGGTTCTCTTGGCTGTGCTTTGTGGGCAGGAACCTGCCCTAGTTCCTCTGTAGGGAAATAAAGTGACGTTAGAAATTTCCATATGCATGATTCAGGCCAAGCCTCTGAGCACATTACGTTATCTCTGGAGAAAATCATCTAACTTCCCTACCATCTTCACAAGCCAAAGGTGCTGAAGAGATGCTGTAGCTCTCCCTGATTTAGTGACTTGCATTTTAAACACCACCACTAGCCAGGAAGTAGTGGCTCCTACCTGTAATCTTAGCTACTCCAAAGGATTGCGATTCAAAGCCAGCCTGGACAGAGAAGTCCATGAAGCTCTTATCTCCAATTAACTATTTCACAAAGCCAGAAGTGGAGGTGTAGGTCCAGTGGTAGTCAGCCTTGATCAAAAAAGTCAAGAAAGAATTCAAGGCCCTCAGTTTTAAGCCCCAGTACCAGTGCACGCGTGCACGCGCGCGTGCGCGCACACACACACACACACACACACACACACACACACACACGAAAAAAGGCAGTGCTATACATAGATTTTATGCAGCAGTTAGCTATGAATCTGCTCGTATATCATTTTGCCCATTTCAAAAACAGTGCCAGAGTATAATTCCTACTTAATACTTGAGCAGTCAGAACTTAGTCTTTCCTTTATTCTCCTAGCTATTTAATTTTAATTCTTTTTTATCAGATTTTAATTAAACTCATTACTAAGTTTAAATGTATTATGGCAAGCAAATACTAAGAAGTTAAAATTGTTTAGGCGCTTGATGGCTGTGGAAATCTCTGCCAGTTTCATATAAATATGCCTAGCTGAACTTGATATGATGGTAACAGTATTAGAAGAGGAGCTGTTTGCCATAGCCCACTGTGTTCTGAGCAATTCAGTAACACCAAACAACACTATATGACTATGCCAAAATCATTATACAACACTCAAGTGCAGAGAACTCCCTGTATTCCATAATCTCTGTAAGCAGGTCTACATGAGATTGCTTTATTGTTTTAGTAGTATAAAGAAATTTTAATTCAAAACTTATGATTAGTCATCTTGCTCAGTGTCATTCCTTCCATTATTCTCCCCATCTCTCCCAACAATTGTGGTAGGAGATACATAACAAAATTTACCATCTTACCGATTTTAAGGGTACAATTCAGTAATGTTAAGTATATTAGTGAGTAGAATATCATTTGGTATACAGAAAAAAGAACATAATATATGGCTAAACCCCAAGGTTGGCAACCCAATAGCTTGCTGAAAATAAAATATATCAAGAATCAGAAAAAATTAAGTTTCACATGAAACGTAAAAGACTGAGGGTTAAATTAGGAAGAAATAGATGTGTAAACTTTCCATATCTCGGTTTCGGATTTAACACCCAACACTTGCCCCTACACATAGCTGAATACAGTAGTATTTTTTAATGGAATAGCATATCCTTCCTGAAAATATTTTAATTCCTTTTTTATTAATAAGTTTTTTTATTGTGAAAATACCATACAGAGGGGTTACAATTACATGAGCAAGGTAATGAGTACATTTCTTACCAAGCATTGTTGCCTCCTCCTGTGTTTTTTCCTTACCATCCCTGCCCTCCCATCTCCACAACTACACCCCCCCCCCCAAAGCATTTACTTGCAACTTTGGAAAAGCATTTACAAAATATTTGTAGTTGCTACCTGGCAGTTCCAGTTAATATCTGTGAGCAATTCATTTATAGTAGGATCATCAGAACCAACCCAAAGATAAAATAGCAAAGATAATTTCATAAATTTTCACTGCTCCTACCTCTCTTTCTGGAGCTCAGTCTTTTTTTCCTCCTGAACTTCAAAATCCCTGCCCTTCTTGCCATGTACCTGTATCTGATACTTCCCTGATCACATTATATGATAATTGTTCCTTGACACATCTATCTCTTCCTCAAGACCAAGAGCTCATTGGGAGCAAGCAACATTTTCTTTTGTCAGTCATGGGGCTTGAACTTGGGGCCTGGGCACTGAGCTCTTTTGCTCAAAGCTAGCATTCTACCACTTTGAGCCACAACACTACTTCCAGTTTTCTGATGGTTTATTAAAGAGTCTCATGGACTTTCCTACCTGGGCTGGCTTTGAGCTATGATCCTCAGATCTCAGCCTCCTGAGTAGCTAGAATTACACAGGTGTGAGCCACCAGCGCACAGCCATATTTTTATTTTTGTCTCTGTGTCTGATAAATATTGAGCATCATTCTGTTTTCCCATGGCACCCTGGGGGACCCAGCCATATCATTTGGCAATCACAGTAATTGAATGCTTAGTTATCCCTGGGGGGAAAAAAAACTCTTTGGAAGAGGTAGTATTTAAATTGAGTCCTGAATGAGAAAACACGGTTATGCAGCTAAGGTAGAGTTCTAGAATCTATAAGAAGCTGGTGTGAAGTTCAATAACAGAGAAAGACAACATGAAAGGGTACTTCCCTACCTACCGTTCATGAAAAGGGAGTTTGTGTTTTCTTCAGTAGGAAGCTTTCAATGGGTTTCCTTGGAAGAGGGCATAATGAGATAGCCATTTTGGAGAGATCATGTGGTTTTCTCTAGAGGGCATGGAGATACAGGACAGACTTGGAAGCAACAAAAACCTATGAGACCAGTGTAGCTTTCCATGTGAGAGATGACAATAGCAAACTCCTGGTGGTAAGGACAAAAGGGCGAAAGTGGTCAGATTCAGGATCTGTTCACTAGCAGCTTGTGCTATATAGGGCGCTGCTTATTGGTTTGCTGGTTAAGAATTAGGAAACTGTAATGAAATGGCTCCTGAAGAGAATTTTATTGATTCCATTCTGTCATTCACTGTTCTCTCTCTTTGATTCTATGCCATTTTTCCTAGGACCCTGATAGTATTTCTAAAGTTCTTTGGCTGGATGAGATACAGCAAGCCATCGATGAAGCCAACACACATGAAGGCAGAGCAAAGCAATGTAAGTCCAGGCCTTTTTTTTTGTTGTCAGTGAGCCTTGCTTAGATTTGGATATATAACTGAAGTCATGTCAGTTTTAATTTCTAGAAAGATTTGGACTCTTACCACATTTTAGTTTGTGGGTACATACTTAGTATAGATATTTGATTAGGTGGTTCCTCTACTTGCCCTGATTGGTTGCTGTTTCCAACAAAATTTGACCCATATTGCTGAAAAGAAACCAGTGGGTGGGGGACTCTGTTCCACCAGGAACTAGCCCATTCCTGCTCGATAAATATCCTCTTTTCCATAGTTTCCATTGTTAGGATTTGTCAGAAATCAGACCCGTAGGGAAGGAGGGTGGAGAGAGGGAGGGAAGGACAATATGTACGTGGGTATTGATATACAAGAGCAGACTGAGAAGTATCTTGAAGGGTCTCAGCCCTGTGGAGTTGTGTAAATGATCAAGGTATTCCTAGAATTAAAATCAACCAGTAGTTCCTAACTTCTTAATCTGTACACGTAGAAGAGTTCTAAGTCAAGAGAAGTCTACCTTGAATGATAAAAAGAATCAGATTCCCTTATTGTCCAGACTGCATCCACATCACAAACCCAGAGCCTCTTAGATGAGGGAGAGACCCACTTCCCTTGAGCAAGGATACCACAACACTACCCCAAAATTATGCCATTAATATTTCTGCTGGTCTTCTCCAAAGGGTTCTAGAGGTCTTGGAGGGTGAATGTTCTAGGGAAAGGAATAGAAGCAGGCTTCACAGGACTACTGGTCACTGGCCATGAAACACCTGAGGCCCCACTGTGGTTCCCGACCAGATCAGGGTTTTAGAAGCTGGATGGATGATGCAAGGAATTTTAATCCATGTTCTCTCATAGCATCCCAGCTCCCAAACCCACCCTATGATTATCTCCAACAGGACTGTAGCTAAAAGAATTCTCATATTGGTTCATATGGTTTTTTTTTAAAGTGCTAGGTGCTGGTGGCTCACTCCTACAATCCTAGCTACTCAGGAGGCTGAAATCTGAGGATCAAGATTCAAAGCCAGCCCAAGCAGAAAGTCTCCTTGAGACTCTTGTCTCCAATTAACCACTCAAAAGCCAAAAGTAGTGCTATGGCTCAAAGTGGTAGAGCACTAGCCTTGAGCAAGAGAGCTCAGGGACAGCTCCCAGGCTCTGAGGTCAAGCCCCACAGTCCCACACACACTCAAAATGCCAGGCACCAGTGGCTCATACCTGTAGTCCTAGCTACTTAGGAGGTTGAGATCTGAGGATCGTGGTTTGAAGCCAGCCAGGACAGCAAAGTCCATGACACTCTTATCTGTAGTAAACTACTCAGGTAAAAGCTGGAAGTGATGCTGTGGCTCAAGTAGTAGAAAACAACCTTGAGGACAAAGATGCTCAGGGACAGCTCCCAGGCAAGTTCAAGCCCCAGAACTGGCAAAAACAAAAACAGAAACAGAGCTAAAAAAAAAAAAAAAAAAAAAAAAAAAACAAAAAACCTTCAACTTCTATTCTGAAGAAGGAATAGTAAGAAAGTCTACCTGACCATCTGAAATAGCTTCTAAATTGATATACAAATGGTCTCCATGTATAATACGTCCCTACACAAATTAAGACTCAATAAAAACCTGCCTGTTTGTGGAATAGACTTCCCCAGTTCATCAGCCCATAGAGTGTTGCTGACACAGCTTGGTCTCTGCAGCAGCTGTGCTTTCAAACTTTGGAAGCATCTATGGAGAACATCTGTATTTATTTCTTTAGCTTGGAAAAATATCTGTATTTTTCTCTAAACTTTTACTTCCTTAAGAACTTTAAAGTCTTGCCTTTCTAGTGCTCTAATGTTTAAGGGAGAAAATAAGATAGTTGAGTTATGTACATAAGAGATTTAAATTGCCATATAAAACAATATAATTAAGGTGGATAGATAGGAGATTTAAATTAACATATTAAACCAAAAGCAGCTGTCATCTG